GCCGAAATTCTCAAAATTACTAAAATTACCATTGCATTAGTTCAAAATTACCTTTTTCAATTTAATCAATTTAGTTATAAAACAATGGCAATTTAAGTAATATTCGAATCAATTTTGGACATTCTCCTAAATGTACTTCTCTTTTAATATTATAGAGATATTGCATGCCAAAAAAGTAGTTGAAAAGCGACTATTTGTCTGGATTCGATTTAGGTTTTGATCGATTGCCATATTTGATCTTGGTATATAGAGAAGTTTTAAACGGACAATATTTTATTCAAGTTTTAACAATATTAACTTAAAAGTTAAAACTAATGGATCGAGCGCCAAATAATAGTTGAATAAAAACAGAAAATACGATAAAACTATTTTCTGAATTCAATTTCGAAAGGTATGATCGACTGTCAAATTTGATCTTAGTATCTATAGAAGTCTTAGAGGAACAATAATTTATCAAAACTTTATCAAAAACAACTTTAATGTATTACCCGCAAAAAAATAGTTGAGTAAAAACCAAAGACACTATCAAATTATACCTTTGATCGATAGCCATATTTGAACTTGGTATTTAGAGAAGTTTATTCAAGTTTCAACGAAACTTAAAAACTAAACCTAGTGGATTGCGCGCCAAATAGTAGTTGAATAAAAACAAAAAATATGATCAAATTATTTCTTTGATCCAATTTCGGTATAATATAAGCGATTGATAGAAAATTTTGATCTTGGTATTTATAGAAGTCTTAAACGGACAATATGTCATTAAAACTTTAACGGAATTGACGTTAATGAATTACTCGCCAATAAGTAGTTGAGTAAAAACAAAAGATATGATCAAATTTGTCTGGATTCAATTTAGGTTTTAATCGATAGCCATATTTGAACTTGGTATTTAGAAAAGTTTTAAACGACCAAGTACTTTATTCAAGTTTCAACAAAACTAATTAAACTAGTGGATTCGCGACAAATAGTAGTAGAATAAAAAACAAAAAATACTATCAAATGATTTCTTTGAACCAACTTTGGTATGGTATAAACGATTGATAGACAAATTCGATCTTGATATTGTATATTCGATCAATAGTCAGATTTTATTTGGGTATATATAGAAGTTTTAAATGAACAAATTTTTTTTTTTAGCTCAACCTAATTTCTTTTTATCATTGTTTATGTGAAAATTGTTATGAGCTTTGTTTATAACTCTCTTGCCTACTAATGTAAATAGGGTTGGTACCAAATACTCATGATGGGCATGATTGATGGTTCATAGAGTGAGTAGAGTAAGATTGAAATTAAAAAAAAAAGTTGGAAAAGAGAGTAAACTGAGCCAGTAGTAGCATCACTCTGTTGCCATCTCACCAATTCATGCTTCCAATTTGGTGCATCTCCCCTAATGAAGGTATTATATGGCCAGTGTACCATTAGTGGTAAGAAACAAAATATTAGACAATTTCCAGCTAA